CTTTCCTTTCCTTTCCTTTCCTTTCCTTTTCTTTCTTTCTTTCTTTCTTTCTTTCTTTCTTTCTTTCTTTCTTTCTTTCTTTCTTTCTTCTTTCTTTCTGGGCTGGCCAAATAGCTCAGCAGATTAAAGTCTGCAAGCAGGTGCAGGGGCTGCAGGTTCAATCCCTGGGCTTGCCGGGCTGGCCCCACCCCTGGGGCTGCTTGAGACTGGGCGTGGTGGCCCTTCCCTGTAGTCACAGCTCTTGGGAGGAAGTAAACAGGCAGATCACTACGAATGGGATCTAGTAGTGGGACCCTGAACACCCTGTAGACCCTGCCCTAAAATTAAAAAGAAAAAACAACAAACACTAAGATTTTCTTGTCTTTCCTTTCCTCCTCCTCTTCTTTTTTTTTTTTTTTTGAGCCTAGGTCTTGCTATATAGTCTGGGCTGCTTTGAACTCACTAAGTCGAGCCTTAAAATCACAGCGGTTCTCCTGCCTCAGCCTCCCTCGCCTGGCGTTTCTTACCAAAATGTTTCTTCCTCTCTTCCAGGGACACCGTGAAGGGAGCAGCCGGATCACACCACGGCCATCGTCATCGTGACCCTGGCCCTGCTGGTTTTAATCGGAGTGAGTGTCCTAGTTTGCTAACACTGCGTCAGTGCCAGGATTACGGGTGTGCACCATCACTCCCAGCCGCCATCTCTCCTGGTCTTTTTTTCTTCCTTCCTCTGTCTTTCCTTTCTTTTTTCCCTCTCTTTCTCTTGTTTTTTCCTCTTTCATTCTTCTTCTGTCTTGGATCTTGCCTTCCTCCTTCCCTCCCTCCCTGTTTTCTGTCTCTCTCCCTTGCCCTGGGCGGCTGAACCTAGGCTCTGTGCACTGAGCTACGACCTCCCTGCCTCTTCTCATTTTCTCTTTCGACACACAGTCCCACTCAGCTACCCAGGCTGGGCTACAACTGTAGTTCTAACTCAGCTTCCCAGAGTGCAGGGATGAGAGGTGTGAGCCAGCAAATCTGGATTGGATTTTTGAAGTGGAGAGAGCCTAGCGGACCAAGTGCCTGCCTAGCCAAGCGCAGGGACCAGGTTTTGAATTTCCATGCCACATGCTGTGCAGGTGCCGCCCCACCCCCATCAACACTGGGTGTGGTGGCGCACATCTGTAATCCCAGTGCTGGGCAGGCTGAAAACAGGAGGACCACTCTGAGGTCTGAGCTGTGTAGTGAGACCCTGTACCAAGTACATTACAAAAAGAAAAGATATTCCTGAGGCCTCCTCATGCTGACAGCGACACTTCCTCATGGGCCCTGGTGCCCAGGAACCTGCAACAAGAGCGAACCTCAACACTTTCCCGACCGAGTCTTCTGTTGGGATCTGCAGATGCCTATTTCCTGGCTGTCTGGACCTCCCCTAAAAGTCACAGTGCTCCTGTGTGCCAGGCCAGGCAGACTAGTTACCTTTCTTCCTTAGCCAAATTGTGAGTGAACAAAATTTCCCATTTATGGGTTTTTCTCATATTTTTAAGAGTGGGCAAGTGAAGGGACCTAGACAGTTGGGACCCAGATTCAGGCCTCTGACTGGGACATTAGTGACAGTGAGGCTGTGGGCAGAGCTATTGTAAGTGGTGTTTCCAGTCCTGGGATTGCTAAACAGGTGGGATGTTAACTCCCACAGTGCTGAGGGTACAGGATTCTGAGAACAGAGCTCCCCTACTAACCAGCATAAAGAAACCAGAGATAAGCAACGTAAAGAAAGTTTCTAGGTTGCCTGCTTGGTGCAGCTGGATCTAACCACTGCTGAAGGTGTATTTTTAGTAATGCTCTTTTTTTTTTTTTGTGGGGGGCTTGGATTCCTGTGAGCCAGGCGGCTGTCAACTGCAATCAGTACATCTCTGCCTACGACCCTAGGAAAGGCCTTTTCGGAGCCCCTAGGGAAGAGGGGTCCACCACTGCCCCGGCCTGCGCTGGCAAGGGAGTGTACCCTGTGCTGAAAGGCACCAGTAGCACAGCAGGAGGTTAGCAGGAAGCCAAGTGTCTCCTGAGAGCGCTTGGCCTAGGCATGGAGTTGTGAAGGGATTCCCAAGCTGGCACCCCTCCCAGACCTCCACCTGTGGGTAGCCCAGCGGCCACCTCCCTTCGGTGACCCTGACGACTCCCCTCCACTCCTCACCTTTGAGCTGGATGGTCAGCTCCGCCTGGCCAGTCCCTACAGCATTAGTAGCCAGGCAAATGAAAGTAGCATTCATGGACTCCTCAATGGCTGGGATGAAGAGCTGCCTGCCCTGGGCCTTGGCAGAGAGTGGCAGAGTCCCTCTGGTCCTAGAGGAGACAGCAGGTGAGGAAGTGGCCCCCACTGAACCCTAGGGTGACAGCGACTGAGCACCATCAATGTAGCCTCCCGCAGTAGATGCCACAGAACAATTGGGGTGTCTTCCCTCACCACCCCCCTCCTCTCCCAGCCATGTCTCAGGCATCAGCAGATCCTGCCCACCCCACCTACTACACCCTGGGAGAATCAACTGCTCAAAGAGAAGCAGCCACCAGCCTTGTGGCCTTCCCAGCCCTGTGTGTTCCCCAGATGGCCAACAGGGGGCGCCCGCAACCCAAGTCAGCAGATCCCTTTGTTCAGCAGGAAGTCAGTATCTCTATCTGTCCCAGGGCGTCCGCCCTCATCTGTACCCACAGAGCCCCAGATTTGAGCCTCAAGCCCGCCAGATGTGCTTCCAGGCCATCTACAAATTCTCTTGTGCCAGATCCCCTCCCCTCCTTCAGGCCTCTGCTGAGAAGTCACCCGGTGTCTGCTAGTTCCCCATCCCCTCCTCAGGCTCAACTTCTCAAGTTTGTGTTTATCTCCCTTTGGTGGTGCGAGGGTGGAAGCCGGCCGGCACAGGGGAGCTAAGGCCCTGGCCCTCCTGCTCTGGCATTCAGCACTGTGGATTGAAGGGTCCAGGTAACCCCCAAAGCCTCATGGGGCTTTCTCAGAGGTGGCTGGATCTGGGGTGTGCGAGGCTGGGACTGATTCACGGTGCTGTGCTAGGCTCAAGGGCACTCGGGTTAGGGGTGTGAGTGCTGCCCGCCCTAGTTAGAAAAAGGGGACAAAAGACGCTGTCCACACCGCGGGGAAGGGGGTGGCTCTGTGGAGTTCACCAGAGTGCTGTGCTTAGCGCTCTGGCACAGTAGTCAAAGAGCAGAGCCTGAGTTGGGGCTATAAGGGACCCCAATCCAGATGCCACCCAGGGGGCAGGACTCAAAGCAGCACCGCCCTGGAGAGCTTGTGACTGCCTTTCCTCCCTGGGAAATGCTTCCTATGTCGCCTGTTGGGGCTGGCCAGTTAGCCAACGGCAGGTACATGGGAGGGACTCCCTGCATCGGTAGAGGGCGCAGTGGACGCCTGGGTTGCATAAGGGTTGGGAGGGTTGATGCGTGGGTGGAGGATCAGCATGGTGTCAGGAAGGGCTGCGGAACATCCATGGGGGAGCCCAGGGCTGGATTTCTGAGTATTCCCTGGGAAATTCTCATGACTTTTCTGTACATGTAAGAATTTCCCCAAGAGAGTGTTGGAAGAAAATGGAGTTATGGATTTATGTGCTTTGATGTGAAAAGGTGTTCACAAGACAGAGGGAAGGTTTCCAAAACTCATACATAGCACAATTCTAGTTTTGGTTTGGAAACAAAAAGTAACAAATAGGACATATAACAAAAGGTAATAGATACTTTTGGAGGTAAATGTGGCTGGCCACCTTTATTGGCTATGGGGGAACTATTTCCCTCTTTTTGCTTAACTGTATTGTCTGAAGGTTCTGCAATGGTCAGAAGTTATTTTTGTGATTTGAAAAAAGGTCCAAGAAACACTGTACAAAATAATGAGTCACAGCTGGGTGTGGTGGTGCACACCTGTAATCCCAACACTTGGGAGGCTGAGGCAGGAGGATTGCTACAGGTTTGGGGCCAGCACAGGCTACGTAGTGAATTTAAGGACAATCTTCTGGCTGTCAGCATCATGTGGCAGGGCTGGTATTCAGCTCCGCATGGTGGGGCCGAGACTGGGCATCAACAGCTGGGACTAAATTCCTCCTGGCACGAGGATGGCAGCCTGGCCTGCGCTTGCCCACTTTCTTTGCTTTCCTCTCTTCTGCTCCCCCCTCAGACCTGGGTCATTCAACTCACGTGTTCCAGACCACGTTCACATCCTCTGGGTTGCTATCCACCTCACAGGTGAGAGTGACAGCTTTGCGGCCAAGGTACCAGTTGTCATCATAGCCAGAAATGGATACCTGAGGCAGGTCTGGGGAAAACAGACACACAAGCTCAGGATGGGGAGCCTTCGGAGCAGCTGAAGAGTTGAGGGCTTCCGGCCTGAGTGGGATGGGAGCAGCTGAGCTGGAGGGGAATGGGAGGACCCCAGGGCCACAGGTTCCTTTAGAGAGCAGAGGCCTGGGCATCCTCAGACATGGCGCAGCAAAGGGGCTTCTCAGGACCTGTCTTTCTCAGCCCATTTTCCTGGGTAGCCTCATCCTGGCCTGCCTTAATGTTCAAGGCTCTGAAAAGTCCTGCAGGATGGAGTCCCCTCCACTTCTCTGCCTACGTGTAATGGCAGCGGGCACTTTCCTAAGTCTTCAGGGGCCAGGCCAAGGGGACAGGGCCATCTGCGTAGTGAGGAGGAGGCAGGTGCAAGTCACCACCGATGTCCTCCTCCGTCACACCCAGTGACTGTTGAGGGAACCTGTGGGCCAAGTGCCTGTGTGGGGACAGCCAGTGTAGACAGGGATGGGAGAGACAGTGTGCACAGCGCTGGAAGAGGCTGAGTGGGTGCTGCTGAGGGCCCCAGACAGAGCACTGGGGAAGCACAGAGGCAGCGGTTGTGGCACTGTTTCCTGGGGGAGGCAGGATGGCCATGCTGGGGCAGCAGCAGCAGAGAGCGCCCCGGGGAGCTGGGGAAGTGCAGATAGGCCGTGAGCACGCATATGTGTGTCCATCACTAGAATTGCCAGTGTAGACAGGGTGGGCACTGATATCCGTGCTGTCTAACACCACCCCTGAACAACTGAGACACGGCTGGTCTGAAATCCGCACCAGATTGCAAAGGCTTGCAATGGTAAGAATGTGAAAGATCTGAAGAATGATTTTTAAAAACAATTACTTGTTAAAATGGTAATACTTTGGATATACTGATTTACATGAAATCCACAAAACATAAATCTTTTCTCTGTTTCTCTGTGTCTGTCTCTCTCTTGGCAGTGCTGGGAATGGAACCCAGGGCCTCTGTAGCTACACAAATGCCCTACCATTCAGCTGTACTCCACCCCTTTTATTTTTCAGACAGGATCTAAATTGCCCAGACTGGCCTGAAACCTGCGATCCTCATGCCTCAGCCTCCTGGGTAGCTGGCATCATAGGCCACGTGAGACACATGGGTCAGCTCCATATCTTTCTTTAAATGGGTGGTTTGAGGGGACCTGAAAACCGCTTCTGAGGCTACCTCCTCTCCTGGTGGTCTGTGCAGGTTAGAGTCCCGGGGCTGTGACTGCGCTAACTCTGTGGGTATCCATGCAGGCTCTGCCCTACGGATCAGACAGCCAGTGGACCAGGTAGTGCAGCCCGCACTGGGCAGAGGAGACTGTAGACACTGCCCTCTGAGACAATAAGAGAAATGGGGGGCAGCTTCCATAAAGCAGCGGGTGTAGACACTATGGGGGTCCAGTGTAGCCAACCCTGGGGGGCATTTCAGAGAGGAAGAACCAGTGTAGAAAGCATAGGATCCTGGGGCCCATGTGTGGGACACAGTTGGTGGCTTGATTTTTATTTGCGAATGTGGGTCATGCTACCGCTGGTGAGGTGAGCCACTGTAGGCAAAGGGACAGGGAGCGGGCTCAGACTGTGCAGAGGCCAGTGCACAGCGGTGTACAGGGATGCAGGTGCGGGCGCGTGGGCAGTGCGTGCTGGGGACGCCCGAGGGAGGGCAGCACTGGCTGTGGCAAAGGAGCTGCTGCAGACAGGAGGGGCGGTGCTGTCTGTGGGCTGGGGGGGCAGTGTAGACCGTGGGGTGGGGATCCAGGGCCGGTTCCCTCTACTCACAGGACACAGAGAGTCTGACAGACAGCAGGTCCGGCTTCTCCAGAGTCTCGTGCTCCACTCTGCAAGTGACATTCTTGCCATTCACGTGGCCTGAGGGCACCATCATCAGGACGCTGGTGACAGTGACCGTGTCTGGCAGGGGTCCTGGCTCTTGCTTTTTGTGCTCTCTGATGGTCTCATTTGAGTCACCTAAGTCACCCAGGAGCCAGGAGACCTGGGGAGGGGGCCAGCCCCCCTCGGAGATGCATTGGGCCACAGGCACCAGATTCCCGGGTGTAAGGTCCAAAGTCGCCTCCTGTAATTCCACCCTGTTCTGAGGCAAGGCTGGGAGAGGGTGACAGGAATAGGTCACCTCCTGCCGGTGGCCATGGCAGGCACAGAACCCTTAAGGGGGAGGGGGTTATCCAAGGACACAGGATGGCCAGGTTCAAATCCCAGCCCTGTCTCTGAGGAGATAGGTAGTCTAGGGCAAGTCTGTGCCTCAGTGTCACTAACTCCACCTCGGATAATGAAGGGGTTATGGTCAAACAGAAGATGCAGGGGAACTTGTCAGAAGGCCCTTGGAGCGTAAGAAGCACTCAGCAAACATGGCTTGGGGGCCGTGCCAGGGACCCAGGAATATACAATGCCCTGGGTTCTGGGCCCTGGGCAAGGAGGGGCGCTGTTCCTGACAGAGATGACTTGGAGGTGGGACGGGCTGTGTGACACAACCACTATGGTGGACAGGACAACCAGATCTAGGGTGCTCCAGACAGGGGACCGGCCCAGTGTCCCACAGCAGCAAGCCAGAGAGACAGGCTTTTGAGCACACAGAGTCTGTCTGACTCCAAAGCTCCTGTCTGCCTCTTACCCGGGACTGTGGTGTCCCACTGTCTGGGGCTTTCCTTGAGCCTGAATGATTTCACCTCCTCAGTGATTTCATCCTGACCCACACACGGAAGACTCCTCCTCACAGAGCCCTGGGTCTGGCACTCTCTTCCTCGGCACTTGACATTTCATGAATGACTCATGGCAAGGCCTGGGACACAGAAGGGGACTGTTCTGTGTTGCCAAGGGGGACCCAGACACACAGACTTCCTGCTCCAGCTCCAAGAGGTAGACCTGTCAGATTCTCTGGTGCTCAGCCCATTCAGAGGAAACCACCAGCCGTGGTGGGCATGCCTATGAGCCCAGCGCTCTGGGAGGCTGAGGCTGGAGGATTCTCAATTTGACCTCAGCTGGGCAATTTAGCAAGACCCTACCTCAAAATAAAAAAGGGCTGGAGATGTGTGAAGGTGCTAGGTTCAATCCCAGTACTCCATAAAGAAAGGGGAGGGGCGGTAGTGGTGGAGGAGGGGTGCAAACTCAGGGCCTCCTGCCTAACTCCTTCTAGCTCCCTCACATCGCTCTGCCCTGCAGTGCTGGGCGCTCAGTCCCTCAAGATCCGCCCTCCCCAGGGTCTCTGCTCTTAGAGGGCTGCCGCCCCTCCTCCCCAGCCCCGCCCAGGCTTACCACGCACGAGCAGCTCGGTTTTTCCGCTGGCGCTGCCCTGTGGGAAGGTGGAGATGTGGCACATATAGGTGCCTTCGTCTTCCCTGCGCACCGCCCACAGTACCAGGCTGGCGTCTCTCAGGTCCCCGCCGACCCTGGCTGACTCGAACTCCATCCGCTGGGGCTTGTGGGGGTCCTCAGACTCCTTGACTTGAGAGCCCCTGCTGGGGTGGAAGATGGCCACAAGCTGGGGAGCCTCCCCACCAGACTTCTGAAGCTCCCAGGTCAGTTGCGTGATCGTGGTCTTCGTGTCTGGCTTCAGCCCCTGCAGCTGACAGGGCAGCTTAACTTTCTTACCCAAGACGCCCAACACCTGGGAAGGGATCTGTAAGCTCAGAGTTTCCAGGCCTGCGGGGAATCCAGGGACACCAATTATACACAGGGAAAGTGAGGCACAGTGTAGCTTGACAGAGGTCACCAGGGTAAGCAGGCCTGGTGGGATTTGTTTTTATTTATTTATTTATTTGAATAGCTCCCTCTCAGGCCAGGGAGATAGCTCAGCAGCGTAAGTTCCTGCCTGGCAAGCGTGAGGTCCTGAGTTCGATATCCGGTATAAAAACAAACAAACATGACACAGGGTCTTGCTATACAGCTCAGGCTGGCCTTGGGCTCACCTTGTAGGCCAGGCTGGTCTAGAACTCACAATAATCCTCCTACTTCAGCCTCCTGAGTGCTGGGATTACAGGTATGCCTCCCCACCCCCAGCTTGCAAGGTGGGATTTGAACCTGGGCTGTTTGTAGTCAATCTCTGTCCCATGTGGAAGTCTTTCTGTTTTCAGCCCAGCCCATAGTAGGTCCTCAAACTGTGGCACCTTTTACTGACAACAGTAAACAGCATGTCCTGCATTCTTAACACTGATTGGAGGGCGGGGAGGAGTCAGATTCCCAGCGCTCCAGCTCTCCCCCCATTCACGCGGGTGTATTTTGTCTTCTGGGCCTCAGGGGTACCTGGAACATGGGTGCGGCGGTTTGGTTCTTTT